CCTGAGCCGTCAGGAGCCGAAGCCGTGAGGCAGCGGAGCTGGCGAGGGCGGGGGGGAGGCTCTGCAGCTGGGAGGGGGCGGCCGTGCGAGCCGGCAGCCGGCGGTGCCCTTCAGCCGGGTCGCTGAACTGCCCGTACACCGGGAGGGACCGGAAAAGCTGAGTTGGGCCTGTAAAGGACGCGCAGCCTTCAGGTTCAGTAACGCAGCCCTCGCTTTGCAGCCTGGCTGTTGGTTTAGCCGATGCAGTCACACAGGCATCCCTTCAGCCAGAAAATACCCTCTGCAGCAAGGAAGCTGCCTTTTCAGTTTTTTAAATTTAAGGCTGAGTTGTTGTTATATTAGTCTGTGCTTTTCTGATATTCCCGTAGTTGGTTATTCAGTGGATCCTCTTTTCTCTTTCCGTCTTTCCCCGCCCCCTTCCCCCGGCTTCAGGGGGCCTGTTTTTTCCTGTAGGTCGTTATGATGTTACCAGCTTTTGGAATACGGCAGAGCGTTTCATTCTCTGCGCTATTTCAGGGCTTGTGTTTGTAACATTTTCAACTGCTACAGGAAAAACAAAACCCTGAACTTGTGTCCTAACAGAAAAGAAGGAAAAAATGATTTTCAGTTTCCTCTTTTAGAAAGTAACTACGCCCACTTCTGGTTTTGGTTTCGGATAATAAACAATTAAACGGAAACATTATAAAATCCAGTGTTCGTCTGTAACTTTTAAGGAGCTTCCTTTTGTTCTTCTTTTAAGGAAATTGAGAGAACGCCACATATTCAAAAAGGTGTGCTTGTATGTAAGAGTTTGCCAAATTTTGGCCTGTGTTATGAACACAAAGCATACAGCTGTCACAAAATGGACATAGCTAGAGGGAGGAATGGTTAAAACATGAATGGCACAGTGAGTCAGTCCTCGGTGAAGGAAGGACAAAGGAAGAAAGTACAAAGTGTAAATCAGTAGTAAAACACAGTCCAAAATAGATGAGTTCTAGGTGAGGGTTTGAAAAGGGAGGCTAAGGAAAAGCATTGAAGGCCAGTTGAAGGAACAGGTATATTGGGGTGAAAAGAGAAGAAAGTGGTTAATAGGTAGAGAATAAGGACCTAAGAGGTGCTACATTGCAGGAGCTAAAGCTGCATAACTGTAGTCTACTTAAATTATGCCTTGTTGCTGCCTCTGATTATTAAAGACCCATGACATAAAGGGTGTGAAGACTTTACTACAACAAAGAAAGGACTTGGGATCCTACCACACTCATCCATTAAAACTCTGAAACTGATAGGACTTTTTCTTATTTTCACTAGGAATGTGGTGGAAAAAGTAGCATGTTATCATGAAGGTGATAGCAGATGGTAATAAGATTCATCCAGCTACCTGTAAATTATGGCTTCAGTCAGGAATGCTTTCAAGACAGGAATCTAATGCTGCTTGTGCTCTGGCAAAACTACTTGAAAATATATTTTGGTGTGTATTTTCTATTGATAGGATCGGGTGGGTTCAGAAAACGAAAGCATGACAATTTTCCACATGGTCAAAGAAGAGAGGAAAAAGAGAATGTTAAGCCATCTTCAGCTGTGATGACATCTTTTAAGTGTAAGTAAGCATTTGGAAAGCAAATTATAAAAACATGGTATAGAAATTGCTAGGAAATTACTAGAGTTTAGTGATTAAATAAACCCGCTTTCTGGGTTTAAGAAAGGGAGAAACTTGAAACTAGTTGGACTCGTGCTTCTGACGTTCAGAGCCTGGTGTTTTGCTTTTTGTGCAATAAGGTCCTGAGAGTGGGACTTTACATGGCTTTGCCTGACTCATGACGTGCTCCCTTTTTCATCCTACCTGCTGTTCTCCCTCCCCACCCTGCTCATGCTGCACCTGATGCTAAGCAAACTCTGTAAGTGTTCAGCCAGACAAAAAGTCACCAGGCCCTTTGGCTGCAGAAAAACTTAAGATCTGCAGAGGTCTCTTGCAAAATCTGAGCCAGGGGGACAAGAAGAGGAGATGGCTACCTTTGGGTAGGTTGACCTTAGCTCTAGTACATAGATGACTAAGCTACTTTAATGTAAATCTGGATGCATTGATTTGTGAGTTGGTCGCTGCTTACATGTGCATTTTTAAAAAATAAGACTCTAGCTAACTAACGTTGACACATCAGCTTGAGTGCCTTTTTAAGACTAGCTTACATTTCAGTTTCTTTAAATAAGCAAGTGTAAACTTCCCTCCAAGCAAATAGGTTTTGTAGAATTTTGCACAAAATCAGATTTAAACTCCAGTAAATTTAGTTGAACTTTCTTATTAGACAAACCCTAACAAGGCAAAATTGAGCTTCAGAATTGTGAAGCCTTGACAGAAGAAGGAAGATGTGCTATAGTGAACAGATTAATTCTTAGTATAAATTTTTGTTATGATACTGAGTAGGGTGAAGAAGTAAAAGCTGGATGGCCATTTTAGATGTTCACTTCAGTAGAATGTAATTTCTTTACTTTCTTTAGAACAGAGATTTCTTTTTTCTGTGTAAGTCGACTTGGCAAATTATTACCTTTGACCCCTGAACTTTTATATTGAATAAAGTACATTTGTGCTTGAATTGAGCAACTGTACTTGCAGTACTTTATTTTTTTACCTGTAAGCATATCAGTTTATCATAAGGTTGCCATGAATTCAAATTCAAAACAGTACTTGTTTCCCTCCTTTCTCATGAGATCCAGTCAGCAGTTTGGTTAATTTCAGAAAGGATGGAAGTGAGATGTTTTATTCAACTTTTCAAAGATCCACTCTTTGTATTGCACTAGTGATTATAAGCTCCAGACAGAGACACTGGTGGTCGTTGTCTCCATGTCAGGCACAAATGTTAAGAAAAGGTTGTCTCCAGGTGGCTTATAATTGAGCAAGCTGTGTGAGGTGAACCAGAGTGGCGCCCTATTTCTATGTATGTTACCCGAGTCTGAGCAACTTAATGTGTGAAATTAAATGTTTATACACATTTTGCTCTCTTTCATCTCTTTGGAAAAATGTTGTACTTGAACTGACATAGTTATCTGTAGCACCAAAGATTAAAAAAAAACAACAAAAAACACGAGAAATTGTCTTCTATAATAATAATAAAAATCCAAGGGGTATTCAAGTTACTCCTTTTTTGCTTAATAGATTTAAAATATGACAGCTCAGTGATACAGAGAGTGGATGGTATCTTGTTTTGTAAGATTAAAATGTATTAAATGTCAGTTTTAATTACCTGATTCTGCAGTTTGGGGTATTGTTAATATTGTAGATCTTCAGAATAGAAAAGTTCCTGGTAGATGAAATTTGTAAGTGGCCATTGGAAATGTCGTATATGGCATCCTGTGAAGGAAAGTACCAGCCACCCTTCCTCAAGTTCCTGTCACTGTATGGGGGAAAATTTCTTCTTGGTGATATTTCAGTTGTGCACTTGACTCTCAGGATTTGGAAAAGACACACCAATCAGACATGTGAAAGATACATAAAAGACCAGTAGGAGCATTTGTGACTTAAGAGTTTCAGAAGACTGGGGAGACCAGAAAAAAAAACATAAAAAAAAGTACTGAGGAGGTCAGATGGTAATGGGTTGTGAGCTGAAAGCCATTGGAGTGCTGTGTCTGTGTTAATATCTATTGCCTCTGAACAGGGCTCATCCCATAAGACTCACATCGGCTGTCATGTGACTGTTTGGGGCCCAGCAAGGATGTGGGCCCATTGCTTGTATGTGCTCTTAGGGTTTTGTTGGATGGATGAGGGCAAATTCACCTGCAGCAGGTTCAGAAGGTGGGTCCATTGCTTGTGTGTGCTGTTAGGAGTTCATTGGCTGGATGAGGGCAAGCAGCTCAGCAGGTTGGACAACCATCTGGAGCCAGGATTGTGGTGCTGTGCTCAAGGCCGTTCATGGTCAAGAGTTGGAGAAATGAAAGGTGAAACGAAATTAAGGTTCAGGGAAGGAGGATGGCTCTCATATTAAATTACACCTCAGGAAATAAGGGAAGGAGATAATAAAGGGGAAGGCAAAGTAAAGATGGGATCCTGGGACAGACCAAATGTCAGAAAATACACTACACAAGGTCAGGAAATGAGCAAGCATAGCTGAGGGAAGGTCAGGTATTAGAGAGCATTCAAAGAGCTACTCTTATCCATGTTCTGCCTAGGCAAACCTCCATTCCTGTCTGGGTGAAAGAAACAGTGGCAGGTTCTTCAGCTGATGGAGAAGTGATCCCTGAATAGATCTGATTTGCACAGGTCCTGGATAACTTGGTGCCCTCTTCTCAGATAGGGGAGAACCCATCCTGAGCACATGCCATTTATCTGGCACACGGGGTCCAACAGTCCATCTGCTACTTATTTGCATCTCCTGTTTTTACTTTGGGCTCAATATGAAATAGCAGCATAAGTGATTTCTTGTCTGATATGATCCTTGTGTGATCTGTGCTCAAGAAGCAGCCACCGTCTGCTTTTGTAACACATGGAATGAGACAAATAATTTGATGGCTTGTTTTAATTTTTTTTAAACTGGACTAACTGAGCAATCTCTTGACTTCACCTCATACTAGTCTGTTCCCCTGCCTGTTTGGTTTTTGTTGGGGGTTTTTTGTGTGTTTGTTTTTTTTAAAATATTATTATTTTTATTGCAGTGGGATTTACTTTGTTAATATTTGTTAGTGCTGTTGAACTTTAGTACTCAGTTCACAGGCTCTCATTTGCTTTCTTCCAGCTCACAGATGCTTTTAGTGTAAAGAAATAGAAAAGGAGACCTCTAAGGTGGAGCTTGGGCTTTAGGAAATGGCTGTTGGGGCTTCCCTAGGCTTTGTCTCTGGGCTACAGACCACCAGTTTTCCTGTTTCACACATTGTAAGAGGAACCAAGGTTTTGTCAAGGTGATGAGAAATAGTTATTTTTGTAGTTTCATCTAAACTTTACTTCACTTGTTACACTTTTCTGAAGGATATTGACTTGTCAGACCCTTAAAAAATTGTAACCTCTTAGCTTGTTTTCACCGTCTTCTCACATGGACATTTTAACACCTCAGGCAGTTATGCAGGGAATGTATTAGGTATAAGTATTCATGGTTATTTAGTGGAAGAGTGGCCTATAAAATGTTAATGGTATCTGAAACATTCATAATGTTTGACTGTGGTAACCACATACACATCCTCTCTTCACTGTGCTCATTGTAGTTAGAGAGAAATTACATCAGTAAGTCAGGAATCTTATTTAAATAATCGATCTCCCTTTGCTTCAGTACTTCGAGTTCCTAGAGATATTAAAAACTTGTCTTTTGGCCAAGTCTACTTGGGATGTAACATGCAACCTTTCTTTTTACTAAATGGTGGATATTTAACAGTGTATCTGCCTTAGTCAAACTCCTTTTTTGTTTGTTTTGGAGACTGGTGAATCTTATTTACTACTGATTGTACGGGTTTATTTTTTAATTTATCTTGCTGAATTTGTGTGAAATTTGAAGTCAGTTTCTTGAAGAGCAGTATTGCAGAATAGATTTTACTAGTTAAAACAAATATTTTACCTTAAAATAGATTGGGCTGCCTTCAAGCATCATCAGTGTTGATGTGTATTTAAACCTGAGTTATTAAACAAAAATAGTATTAATGGTGAATCAGCAGCTCTGGCAGGTAGTAGACAGCTGTGCCCTGGGCAGGAGCAGCTGTGCTGCACACCTTGGCAAAATGCATCCCTGGGGAAAAAGCTGGTGAGGCTGGGACCAGTAAACTGGTAGTGTAGCACAGACTTTCTGCTCTTTCCCCGCACTGTACACATGTGATAACTGTGCTTATTCCTGTAATCATTGACTCTGCAGCATTTCAGCTGGAGCTTGACACCAGGCATGATAAATATGAACGGCTCGTGAAACTCAGTCGTGATATAACTATCGAAAGCAAAAGAACAATATTTCTGCTACACAGGTTTACCAGGTGAGTCACATTGAGCATGAAAGCGTTCATAGAAATCTGGAAGCTGCCTTCCAGTGTTCTCTTTATTTGTGATTAATAGCTGCAATGTTCTCTTGAGGAGAATTCAATTAATGTCCCATAAATATCCTTTAGGGTGGATGTGAGCTAATGGATGCACATTTCAGTTAGAGAATTAAAAGATGTGGGTTCAGGTTTCTCAGCTGGTTTTATTGATGTATTAAACAGGATCAGAGTAGTAGAAGTATAACAGCAAATGAGAACTTTATGGCTTTCAGCAAGCTGGGAGAGAAGGGCATGCACCCTTCACAGAATGACAGAATTGACAGAATTGTAATAGACTACTGGAGATCATCTAGTCCAACTCCTCTGCTAAGGCAGGATTGCCTGGAGCACGCTACACAGGATTGCATTGAGGTGGGTTTTGAATATCTCCAGAGGAGACTCCACAACCTCTCTGGGCAGCCTGTTTCAGTGCTTTGTCAGGCTCATAGTAAAGAAGTTTTTCCTCATGTTCAGGTGAAACTTCCTGTGTTCCAGCTCGTGCCCATTGCCCCTCGTTCTGTCACTGGGCACTACTAAAAAGAGTCTTGGTCCACTGTCCTTACACCCACCCTTAAGGTATTTATAGACATTGATAAGTTCTCCTCTCAGTCTTCTCCTTTTCAGGCTGAAGAGTCCCAGCTCTCTCAACCTTTCCTCATAAGAGAGATGCTCTAGTGTCCCAGTTATCTTTGTTGCAACTAACCCTTAATTCTAGTTAGTTGCTTCTGCAGTCACTTCACCATTTTGTCTTCTCCTGCCTCACTTGAGGTCATCAATTCAAAGAGGAGGTGGCCTGCATTCTATTTACTTCAATACATTTTGCAGCCTAAAAAGTGCAAAGTTTTGAGCTTCTACATATTTTTTGTTTTCATGAGCCTTCAAGCAATCTTTGGAATCCACAGACAAACTAGAAGAATAACAGGAAAATCTGAAGCTTCTCATAGCCTGTTGTATAAAATGTTTACTCTATGTGTCAATCATTGGTCTTAACAGTTGTAACAAATCTGCCTGATCCTTTTATTTTTAATGTAATTTATTTTTAGTTACCTACCAGTGCATTTCTGATGTAACTGTTTATAGTTACTATTTTACTAACATAAATAGGGATTATGAGATTGCCCTGCTTTTAACTTGGTCTTGTTCTGCAAAGAGGCATTTTGATAATTCTAGTAACTGCTACAGCCTTGACTTTAAATAGCTATTCCCACTGCAGGGGCTAGATAGTTGGGAACTGGCAGAGGAAAGAACAACAGAAACCTTCTCTTTATTCTAAATCTTAGATTCTTGTTTTGTAGGACATTCCTCCTTTTGTGAGAGTGGAAGCTTTCTGTGCTGTATTTGCAATTATTTCTCCTTTGCTTATTACTATTTTTGTGGCTTTACTTTCAGAAGTCTGTTTGCTTTTAAATGTTTTCTCAAGACCAGTGTATCAGTAGTTCCTTAAATAGTCTGTAAACTAATGTACCGTATAGATTATTTGGAGGTGGGGGAAGTTTAAAGGAAGTTAGATAAACTGAACTTTAAATGCCAACTATATATTGTGGTTGTGAATCAGATATTCCAGGTGTTCCTGAATAGCATAGTTCATAATTACTTCCTTAAAAAAAAACCCAAAAAACCCCACATGTAGAAGTAGGTCATGTATTGTATTTTGCAATACTGTAAGGTACTGATTTTTAATTTTTTTTTAAGAGGTTGAAGGACTTTTGAAAATAATGCTTGTTTTCCAGAATAACTTTTTGAAACCTTTGCATGTGTTTCTTACTGTTCTTACTTAAGCAATAATTAAAATTCTAGTCTAGAATAAGCATCATGTTACCAGAACTGTGTTTGGTGGAGCTTACACTCATGGTAAGAGTGTACAGAGTTTTAGAATCTGCAGTAGGCATTAAGGCTAAACTATTTCTCATACCCATATTGGTTTTTCTTTTTCCTGAAGCCATTGAAAATGTATTGGTTAGTAAAAGAAAATGTGTTATATTTTTTATCTGCTCTTTCTGTTGTATAATTGCAGTGCTCCAAGTGGGGAAGAAATACTCAATGAATCTGAAGTCAAGCTAGATGCTGTCCGACGGAAGATTAAGCAGGTTGCACAAGAGCTGATTGGGGAAGACATGTATCAGTTTCACAGAGCTATATCTCCAGGTAAAATATTTTAAAATATGGAAAGTATACTCTTTTGCACTGAGCTCAGTTTCTCTTTATGTAGCACTGGTTCCTTTTCATGCTGCAGGTCTGAATTTGTCTCATTACCATGGTTAAAATTAGGACTCAGAATAACCTTTGTTGTTAGCAAAGTTAGCTCTGGTGTTAGAGAGGCTGTTGCCCTACGGTCTTCTTATCATTGCAGTTAAACAAAGATTTAAATGGGAGACTACGAATGGAAAAATTTGGACCCTGGCCTAAACTGAAGTTGGGAATAGTTCTAACAAATGTACTGCCTGATATTCTCTGAGAGGAGTATGTGCAACACACTCCTTTACCCCACCTGAAGGAAAGTGGGAGTGACTATCTTGTGAAATGATCCCATTTTGAATTGATAAAAGTAGTGAATTAAAATCCTTAGATGAGCATTTTCTTCCTTCTGAAGACTCAATGTGCTTTCTGCTTCTGTTACAAGCATTAAATCAGACTTCATATGTTTCTCTCACATCTTTTTCTGCCATTTTCTGTAAATCACAGCATTTACTAACATCCTTGAGATACTAAATCCCAGTGCTTTCATGACTCTTGCTGTCAAATCATGTCTCTGCTGAATCTTTGCTGACAAACTGAATCTTACCTAAAATTCTTAGGCCATTTGTGGCAACACATGAGTAAGATGTGTAGCTGCTTTTTCACATTTTGGTCATGGCATGAAAGTGTCTTGTGTTTATCAATCTTGTTTTAAATATATTGGAGCCCTGTTTATCTTTCCTTGTCCAGGTAAGACTTCTTTAGCTGAGGAGAGCTGAATATTTGCCCTAAATTATTTATTTGTTTAAAAATGTTAATGGAATTTTTTTGATAAACCATTTATGTAATTTACAAGACACTGCACAGGTTAACTCATACTGATGTCTTGCACAAACTGAAGTTTGTTAAGAGTGAGACAGCTCTCAAGTGAAAGTTGAATCAGAAGCAGCTTGCCATGCTAGTCTTCAGTGGTTCTAATGCAGTTCCACAGTCCTCTTACCTGTGGTGCAATGGGTTGTTCAAATTAAATGTAAGTAGTTCCTCTTGAAGAGCCACTGAATCTTTGTGTGTTTTGCTGATATTTATAGCTTAGTACTGTTATGAGGCAATGAAAAAAGAGAATTCAGATACCACAGATGACCTCAAACTGTGAACAATAGTAGTGCAAGTATGAGTAGCTTGACATCTTGAAAATGTGCTTGGAATTAAATTTTAAGTACTGCTTATAAAAGCTGAAAACCCTGGCATTCAGTTTTGTGAACAAAAATTTTTAGAAGCTCCATCAAGACTTGTAAACCTTGTCTGAATAACCCCTGAAGTTTGTAGCCTCGTGTGAGTCATATAATTCTATCTATAGAACAATAGCATTTGAGTTCTGCTACCTCCATGGATCTTTGTGAGACCTCATGATAGGAGCTATCATCCTTGTCACATGGGCAAAACTGTTGAAGGGTAACTAGTTATCCTGTGTCAACTGCTTCACCTGAATTGTCTCTGTTTTCTTAGTATGTAGCTTTGTGTGGGTAAATTCAAAGCAGTGTACCTACCTCTGTTTTTACTAAGGGACAGCTTGCCTGGAATTAGATTGCATTCATAATAGATTATGCCTACATAGCAGACATGGAAATTTATCACAAGATAACTTCTGTGTGTACCCATGTCTTACAAAGCAAGTGAGCAAACCTGATGCTAGGTTTCTAATTCCAGATTCTCTCCTTTGAGTAAAAAAAAACACTTCTGGTTTTGTTTTTTCAGGTTTTCTAACCTGAAAACATTGATGGTTTGGGATTTATATATATATATATATATATGTATATATATATATATGTATAT